CATTTACATGACAAATGATTATTAATAATTATGATATATCTGTTGGTCTTACATGTGTATGTGTTATCTACCAAATATAGGTATGTACTGGATTCAATGTTAACTTTCATCTTTGTAAAGAGGAATTTGAGTTTGAAAAAGTTTGAGGAAACCAATCCAAAACCTCCCTAAAAATCCATCAAAACATGCCCTTATGAGCTATTTGGTATGTTTTTTGGGAAGGGTTTGGATTGACTTGTCCAAATTTTTCCCCAAAGATGAGATTTAAAGATGAGATTCAACATTTAATATTGTTCATACCCATATTTGGTATGCGTAGGGATATATGATTATTATGATAATATATTTGTATATAAATGACTATTGTGCCAATTAACTAATTTGTATATATGAGGTATATAGGAATATAAATGTTACTTTCATGTTAAACCCTTTAACCCACATATAAAATTCACTCCCCTTGGGTTTCATGACCGAGCCTAAACCAGACCGGATTTCAAAACCTGGACTGCATGTGTATTTGCCAAATATTGGTTTGAGGGAGTTTATTTCCCAACCCATGTTCCAAAACCCACATACCAAACAGGCCTTTAGGGATTGGTTTTGGGCGTAGTGGGTAGGTATTTGGGCGGGGGTTAGGGATAATTTCCTTGAATGGTTAAATAACAAATATATAGTGCTAATGTTACATAAATTGAGAACTTAATTTTAGTATCTCATGCATTGTGACCATTTAACGATTGGTCCTAACAATTTTATTTTATTTTTGTTCAATTGAATCAGCTTATATATATTTCAACTAATTCTTTTTTTAGTTCAGTTAAAAACAGACCATCTACACTGCGACTAGTGAATTTATAAAAGATAAATTCAAATCCTTCATGACCTGGTCCTAAGGAGTTACTAAAATTCGAATTTAAAACGTCTATGTTTACAGATCCTCCTTATATCAACTTGAGTTACTCTTAGAGTTTTTTTTTTGAAAGAAGTTACTCTTAGAGTTGATTGGTCCTAACATTAACAAAGTTTATTACCGACTAAATGGTCAAAATCCATTAAGTAACAAAATCAAATACAATTATTACTAAACAACTTAATTAGTGGCAGACAACTTAGATAACAGCCATTGCTTGAAAGCTTCAACCAAAAAAAAAGAAAAAAAAAAGTACAATATGCACCCAAATCTAGCATGCAGATCTATTCAAAAAGGCCAAAACAAATGAGCATATAACTAAAACCCAACTGTAACCAAGGCCATGGTCACCAACCCAGTAGGTCCATTGGGGGGAAGGGGGACAAATCGTATCCCATGATTACAAACTTGCAATTGGAGCATCTCAAGCACAATTAGGCAACTTTTAATAAAGTCTCGGACCAGAACCAACAAAAAGAGTCACATGGACATGGTCATCATTCTATGTGGATAAATCCAAACGTTAAAACCATAATTAAGAAGAAGAAATAATTTCTGCTGGTCTAGGAATGGGTTTTTGGAGTTACTTTTGCAGCTAAAACATGACAAAAAAAAAAAAAAAAAAGAAGGGGACAAAAAAAGCTAAATACAAGTCATGCATTTTATTTAATGTGGCAACTCAAAACACATCACGTTTATGTACCGATTAGTAATACTTTTCGAATCCTTTAATGTGCAGATCTTCGAGATTTTTGAAAATTTTAGACGGGTCCTAGGCATATATTTTGGTAACCCCATTGCCTTAACCAATTTGAAAAACCAAAAAGTCTATTAGTATTTTTTTTTTCCGTTATAAAAGGCATAGTCAACAAAATATGAGGTATGTTAGATGCACGCAGTTTTATGACCTTTAAGTTATAATAGAGCAAACTTACCACTAGGCCAAGAGCAGCAAATTTTTTTTATTATTAAAAAAAAATATATTTAGGGATGAAAAACCCATTACTAGAATTTTTTTTCGTAATTAGAATTCTTATATTCAAGGATGAAAACGAACCATATTTGGGGAATGGTGGTGGTTGGACCATGGTTCAATCATCTGGGCCACTTTTAAGGCACAAGCAAGAGCTATGTGGGGGATAATTGTTGGAATAATTAATGGCCTGTGTGGAAAACCGAATTATTTACCAATATATGACAAATTTATTTATCTACTGTATTTTTGAATTTATTTATCAAATTACGATATTTTTTAAAAGTAAATTCATTGGGTTTAATACTCTCTTTTTTTTTATGATTGAAACATTGCTATTGTCTTACCCGATCAAAGATTAAAAACAAAGTCATTGACTTCCGATTTTTAAAAAGGATCGTACTTTAGTGTGTATATATCGATAATATTGTTTGAAAATTTTCGTATTATGACAAATAACTCGTAAAAAACCTATCTCCATCGTGGTTGGGTGCTGAAAGAGGTAGCTTTAATCCATTCTATGGCAGCTGAGGCCCACAGCACAAGTGACGGTTGTTTCGTGTCTGCCACAAACAAGTCATGAAGAGGGATGTCCACCGGTCCAGACAGATGGGAAACTACACATACACGTTCGATCACCAACTTTTCAACGGCTGGATCTAGATTACCTCCGATATTTTTAATTTTTGTTTTTTGTTTTTTTTTCCTTAACATGTCATCACATTAATATGTGATTAGGGCTCATAATTAAGCTGAGTAAAACTTGACTCAAGTTTGGTTTGTGCTCTAAAGAAGTTGAGTTTCAACAATTTTTTAGACTCGTTTAAAAAATGAGTCTAAAAAATCTCAATTTGAATTTGTAAAACTCGACTTGTTTATATGTAAAATAGTTAAGTTATTCATGTTTGACTCGTTTTAAGCTCGACCAATTGTCTAAACGAGCTAACCTTGAATAATTTTTTAGACTCGCCTTATAAAATGAGTTCAATAGACTCGATTCAAGCTCAAAGAACTCGATTCGATTATCAGCTCTATACGTAAGAGTCTCGTTTATAAAGAAAGAGTCCTATTTGAATTCCTGTTTCATGGTCTATCAAGAATAAAAATTGAGAAAAAATATATTAAAAAGGAGAAAAGATCTCACTCTCAACGGATGGATGTAAATATCAGCCTCAAGTAGATTGGACCCCTCCCCTCCCCTCCCCTCCCTCCCCTCCCCTCAAAGATTAAAAAAAAAAACCCAAACTCATGTGAAAAATATCTCTACACCGTTTATCAAAAGATTACAATTTTTTACCCTCGTTTTGTTTTACTCGATGAATAAGGGTATTAATCGAATCATGTTTTGTCACATTCAATTTGTGTCATTTTGAATTTTGTGTTATGGTTGTTTCATATCTGTATAAACTCTAGACCGGAAACCACAGGATTAGTACCCCTTTTCCTCCTAGCAAAATCAAATAACAAACCAAAATAAAAATTACTCAACTATATATTATTCTTTTTCAATTGATGACCGTGTCATTTTCAGGTCATATTGTGCTTGTTTGTTGTAGATAAAACTGACACGTACTCGTGCCGACGAGCATGGTTGTTGATCTCTATCATGGAAAACACAATAAATATCTGTTCATCAACGTAACTTTTGGCTGAATTATTTCTATCAAGAGCAGCAAACTGGAATATAAAGGGACAACATGTTGTTGATTATTTTGTGAGAGGTGGGTCTCCTTCTTTAACTGCGTTTTGTCGCAAGTACTTTGATGCCATGGCCACACATCGACCTGATCATATGTAATGCTATAAGATTAGGAGGGCCTTCCTGTTTAATGTCGCAATGGGGGTAAGTGTGTGTTTTGTCGATGTCTCATGTCTTAGGGATTTAGCTCTCTATCTAACATGTTCTTTTGTCACAATTTGGGTTGGTTGACTTGACCATATATTCATCTTGTAGTCTCTAAACCTTTGTTAATAAAAAAAAAAAGAGAGAGAGACCATCCATCAATCACAATTAATGCTCATAGCTTAATTATCTCATTCAGTTTGTCTCTTTGATGATATGGTACTGAAGTTTGGGTGTATTTATGTTGTTCCAAAATCTGTTGTAATCGACAGAATATCTCAATTGACAAATAATTTTCAGGTGATTCTTTGTGAATGAATTCAATTATCTTGTTTTCGGACCTTTTTGGATAAAATTTTAAAATGATAAATACAAAGAATGATGAATTAATAAAAAGTAAATTCCTTTATTAATTGAATTGAGTTTTAGTTATAGAGAGACTAAATTCATACTCTTTTATTGCAACGCTAATTTCTTCTTAAAATTAACTTTAACATTATTTCTAAATGTCATGATCGTGGGTCTTGTAGGGGGATTTGAATTGTCTTTTTACTTTCTTGTTGTCTGCCTTTTATAACCACTTTCTTTGATGATTTTTTTAGACATCGACGATTAATTGACTAGTAACTCTTATGCAGGTACTCTCTTTTTTCAAATAAGGCCATGGATGATCATTTCTCGGCTCTTCTTCATATTGTGACACGTGACAACTCTTTAATACCTTCAAACTTACAAATTACACATGCATAAAATGTTTTTATAATTTTATATTTTAAGTCCAAGCATATATATACATTGTAAGGGAGGTATTTTGCCCATTCGACAAGAACGGATGTGACTCATTTTTCAGAATGACTATACAAATCGAGCTTGACTAGAATGGGCTGGAGCAACATCACAAAACTTATCTCTTGGGCCAACTATGGTTCGAGGTTCAAGTCATTATCGTGGAAGGATGCAGGATTAAGGCGGCAAAAATGCTACGTTCATAAAAAAAGAAGTTTATAATCTCTTTTGCACCCAGGTATATTTGAATGCAAAGAAAGAGAAGTTTGAATTTTCTTTTTGGAAAGTAAATAATTTCATTTGTTACTTCGACCGTTCTTGTGAGAACGAGGACTGATCCAATCGGGGGGTCTATCTTGAATCAGCCAACTCTCTAGGGAAGACGATTAGCTAGACCACTCCTTTTTAGAATGAACGAGATCATCGCCTAGGAGAGCATAGTTCAAGAGAAAATTAAATAATATAACAAAGCTCGAAACATGAAGCTTAAGGACCAAGCAAAGAATTTCTCAAAGGGAGAGTAGCTTGGCTCAAGCCTAAAAGAAGTTTGAAGTATTGATTAGATTACAAGTATACAAATCTATGGCCAAACCCACTACCTATATATGGTGGGCACACAAAACTTAACTCTATCAACAATATTTATGTTCGGTTCTTAATAAAGTCGGGCAATTCTAACCTCACCTCAAGGGTAGACAAATTATGTGGACCTACTTCACCTTGGACAAGTACCTCTTCTTGATGGTCTTCATAGATCTCAGCACCACCAACCGCCTGTTCTTGGTGGTCTTCGGTGATTTCACGAGAAGTGAATTCTGCTAGAGTCGAATTCCGGTGAAGAGAAGAGAGCTTCGGGGAGTTGGTTCTGCTGTTGCCCCATGTGGTTGATGAATGATCACGAGGAGACTGGGACTGTGGTTTTTTCTTCCTCTTCTCTTTCACTTCGGCATGCCAATTCTTTATGACATGCACTGTTTGCTCTTCTAGCACTGCACTCTTGAAATATGAACCCATCTATGTGCCAAAAAAGAGCTAGCCAATTCAAGCTACAGCTTAACATATATGTGTGTGTGTGTACATTGTTTGTAGAGAAATAGAGAATGGAGGGAGGGGTATGCAAACCTGGGTTACAAGTGCATAGAGGGGAAGAGTAATGTAACTGCAAAGGACTTGAACCATCACCCTGCAACATCATTGAGAAAAATTAGATTAATATCAGCTTTCACAATAAGTATGCTCTTTATCTCACTTTGATTCCTAATATTTCAATTGATACTTTATTCTCTAAAATAACTCTAAATTTTCCAACCAGAAGTGGTGGCTTAAATTACTAATTGAAGTGGCCACGTGTGTATCATGCGGGTAGACACATGGAGATTTCATTCGTAGTTTTAAATTGTAATTCCTGATAGGACCATTTGGAGTAAAATGACATAATTGAAAGTATAAAGATAAAAAGAATGCATATTTTAGGAGTTATTATTGTATTTTGGCCCTATTATATCAATCTTATAATGTACAATATACATTAGCCAATACCAAATAAAGCACAAATATCTCATAAAATTTAGGGTTAATTGTTTTTTACCTCTCCGTGTTTTCTGTTAGAAGCACCTTATCTACTTGACATTTAAAATTATGCACATTACCATTTTGTAGTTATGTATCAAAGTAAAATGATTACTTTTATCAGCTAATTTAATGGAGAGTATGCTCCACACGCCCAAAACATGTTGTGCTGTGAGCTTTGTTTCCATTGTTTTCCTCCAAAAGAATATTGTCCAAATACCTAAAATACCTTTTACAATATATAGTATAATGTCCCAGATTAAAAAAACATGTAAGAAAAACATGAGTGATTTTTTGCCCCGGATTAAAATCTCACTTAAGAGAAAAAGATACTCGACATGTTTGATTGAAATGTGTTGATTTGTTATCATGCTTTATTAGTTTTATGACCAAGAGTAAATCGGATGAAAAGTTTGATTTTAAAACGCATTTATTATGATAATTTTTTAATTTCGTTAACGGCATCAATTATTTCACTTTGATACATAACTATAAGAAAGTGACTTGTATAATTTTAAACGTCAAGGTAAGATGTTGCAAGCCGAAACCACACGGGTAATTTATATTGGCTAATGTATATTGTAGTAAAGTACTGGCGGGCATTCTTGCAGAAATATTCTATTAGTGTGAATTACTTGCAGACTAAAGACATGATCATCCATCAGGAAGAGAAAGAGTAGCACCAACTTACGCTAATACCACTCTGATCACAATGATCTCTACGCGTTCATGGTAGCACGACTTTATACCAAATTGTAACTGAAACCAAAAATAGGAAGAAAGAAAGAAAGAAAAACGTAAACATTTGTTTTGACTAGTACTTGTTGGGGAATAAAAACAAACACTTTCGAGGCATTAAAAAATGGTACCGTGACCCAGACGAAAAACGCAAGCTCGAATGCATTCTGTACATGAAATAAAAAGGTTAATTGTTAGAAATAATCAATACAGCTTCAGTTATTCTCTGTTCTATTTTGTGGGTTATTCTTTCAGAAATTGAAGGGGGATTACCATGAAAAGGGTTAAATGTAGAAGAGTCAGCACAAATTTGGGGTGACTAAACCAGAATAGATTGTCATTGGGTTGAACCAAAGGAGTTCCTTTGATTACATTGTTCTGTTCTTTGATTTGAAGAGCCATTCTCGCGACAATTACTTCAAGTTTGGTTCCAATAAGTAGCACTGTCTGCAAAAAACACCATAACTTTCAGTAAAGGCAACTATATATGTATAGTTTTTGTTTACAATTTAAACAGAAATTAGAAAAATTTGGAGGAGTGAATGTTTCGAGCTTACGATGAGTGGGAGAAATGATACCCAGAGATATGCATTCCAACCTGTTTCCATTGATACAATTATTATTGATCATAAAGAAACAATAACAATGTGAGGACTGAGGAGGTTAAGTTGAAACTGGTTATGGAAAGTTGGAAACAAAGAAAATATTGAGAAAATCATACTCACCATGTACGTCAACAAGGAGGAAGATGACAACCAGAAACCACATGAAAGGGCTGTCCACAGGAAAGAAAAAAAGATAATGGGTCCACCAAAACAGTGCTTTACTTTAGCTTAGAATTTAGAAATGTCAATCGTTTTAGGTGATACAGATTTGTTTCGAGTTTTAACGCGTTGGTCTCAAAAAAATATTTTACATATAAATTGTGTATAATTGATATTCAAACGAGCCGTGTCGATTTTTTTTTATTGACCTCACCCATATTTTATTTGTTTATTAATTGTGTCGTGTTAAATTCATTCGTTTATAAACGGATAATTTTAAAAAGACTCAAATTTTTTAATTTTTCATCATGGTAACAAATCGTATCATACTTTTAACACGTTTATAAACGTGTTATTGTTTACGATACCGATAAAAAAATATTCAGTACCGCACAAATTTTTACCATATTTGTGGGTTTTTTTTCTACCATTGTTATGCTATTGAAAAAAAGTAGTAAAAATAATTACCACAATAGTAATAAAAACACACCAATATTGTAAATCACCCAAAAAAAATAATTTTTTTGACAGAAGAAAAGTAATAAAAATACTCACAAAAAATAATAAATTTTTTAGTTGTAAAATGACTCACAAATGTTGTAAAACCACTCATTGCAATAATAAATTTTGGAGATACGGTTCCAAAATTTTTTTTTTCGGTTGGGGGAAAAAAACCCTTAATTCTAAGACAGAAAATAAAACTTTTGGTACCTTATGCCAACTACAACTTTAAAGTCATCTTCCAAGGATTTCTGTATGTACTTTTGAAAATTGAAGGAGTTGTTTCCTGACAAATGAGCCTGTAAATTCATCAAAAAAATAAGAGAGGCAAGCATGAATATTATTTAACATTTTGTCTTTGTAATTTGTTTAGATATCTACAAGATTCAGCATTTAATAATAGGTAATTTTCAATTTTCTTTTAATAACAACGAATACGGTTAAATTATTTTTGTCACAAAACTAGCGGAAGAATACAATAGAAGAAATATAAACATACTAACCGAAATGAAACCATGGCGCAAAGTGAGGTAGTCTACTTTCGCCACTGAATAGAAAAATTGCCGAAAGAAACATTTCTGTTCCATTTTTTAAAACACGTATTAGCATAAAGCTGAGTCGGAATTCTAAATCATTAATCAAAACATATATTATTTTCAAGAAAGATCCAAAGAAGAAAGGAAAGAAAAGAAAAGTTGAAGATTGAACTCACAATCCATAGCAGAGTTGGTGTTGTTGTAAAGTCGTTCATATGCCGCCGTCCAAATGTTGTTTGCCTTGTAAATCTGAATCGATTGGGATCTGAATGAACAGTTTCATTCACAAGTATTAAGAAGCATTGGCTTAACATTTCTTTACATAACCCACCAGCCACTATAAAAACCTTACAAAGTTGATGAGTTTGAGTTTAGAATTAATGACTCGGTTTATAAATAGATTGACCCGCTATACGTGTTTGTTAAACGATTAATTAAAAATCCGAATAGACAACACAAAACAAATTCAATTTGATTTATACCCAACACGGATCTAATTAAACTTAATTATAAATGAATCGAATATGAGTTTAAATTTTAATATGACAAGACAAAGACATGATAAACTGAAAATAAATCAATCACTGAAATAACAAGTGTGAAAGGTGAATTTGATGATCACCATAATCAAATAATTGGGCAAATATAATCTCTCTCTTGAGTCTAGATCTTCTATTGTATAGCTATAGTGTTGTTCTCTAAACGGTATTGTTTTACACACAGAACAGTATTATTTTATGTGTAAAATAACGTTGTTTTGTGGAACATCCGTGCGGTATAGTAGAGGATCTATTTCTCTCCCCCTTCTCTATCTTTCTTTCTCTCTCTCTCTCTCACACACACCCAATAATCAAAGTCATACAATAGTTCAAACTCACACGTCAAATTTATTAATTTAAGAACTCAAATTGCAAAAGTCAATGCTGCGTTGATATGGTCCTACGTTAATGGACATCTATAATTTGGAAAAAAAATGCATTAACAAACAAATGCATGACATTCAGGTATATCCTAACCAACCCATACTGAGTTCAACGCGCTATAAGCATCTAATCTTTCAATTACTTGGTGCTATAGGATTCATAACAATGTATTAGTTGATGGTGCTGATCTCGATAGTTATTAATACCACAATTAGTAAGGGAGATGTGTGATGCGCATTTATAAGTATATATATGTCTAAGATTATCGTGATTCATTCGAAGTTAACCTTTTCTATATTCAGTGTAAATTCACTAAACATTTAATGTATGAAAAAAAATATATCGTGAGAGGCTAAAAGTTGGATTGACAATAAATTATTTCATTTTGAGCTTATGTTGTACTAAAATTTACGATTATAACTCAAATACACTAAAGGGCTATTTGTTTTGAGTATTAGAGTGATATAAGGAGGTGGTATTAGAAAAATAATACATGAGACTCATCTTATACGTTGTTTGTTTGATATTTTATAGTCAATATTATTTTCCTGGTCGTAATACCGACCCGTTATGAACAGTAATCAAAATGCCTTGTAAAAGATTTTAATGAATACCACCTAGGGGTGGTATTATATTCTTGGTATAGGTATTATAAACTAAAAAGACCAAAATGCCCTCCGATACAATTATCATATAAAAGTCTAGTTGTAATTTTTGATTTTTTAAAGGTTAAAATTGTCTTTTACATTGGTTAGTCTTATTGTTGATTTTTTTAAATAGGTATTATACAAATAATATTTTTAATAAATAAACAAGGAGAAGAATGTAATTATAATTTAACATCGGGTATAATATATTATTGAATTAGAGTGAAATAATTATAAAATTTTATATCATTTAAATTCTACTCGAAACAAACATGCCCAAAGGTTACACTCAGTTATTGTAGTGCCAGTCAAGTTTGTTTTATGAATTTACCAATCCCTCTCACTGGAAGAGATTATGAATCACTTCAAAAAGTAGTATTAAATAAGCCCTTGGAAAAAAGTGACGAAAACACAGGAAATAACTGAGAGGACTAGTCTGTGAGCAACACCTACCTCCAATGGTCAAGCAAATTAATATTGATGGTGACACTAGACCTAAAACAGTTGCCAGTCACAGGCATGTACAAAGTCTTGCAAATCACAAGATTAATACTGCTCACAAATTTGTTACATCATTTAACATTCAAATTTGGTAAACATTTTTATTTTCTTTAGTTTTATTATAATTAGAGATATTTGGATCAATTTTCTCAGATTAATAATTCTCTTTGATTTGGTCAAAGGTTGGTCATCCACGCTAGAACTAAAAAATTCATGAGAAATAAATCTCTTATTGACTGAACTCAAAAAAATTATTAAATTATAAACTCAAGATGTCTGAGTTTTTCTGAAAGGATGAAGGTAATAGAGAGCGTTCAAATACCATCTCGATAGGTCTTTATTGGTAGAATCATGAGATCGCTGATCGCACCCATTACTTTTTTAAAAAACGAATCTAATTAAACTAGTATAACGGTCAATCATCGAACTTCAATATAAACTTTAAAAGTGCGCTCATTTCCTATGTTTAGTGTACATATTTTAGTGCCGTGATGTTTATCATTCATAAAATATTATACATTTTTAATTAATTAATGTCACTTGGAAAGTTATCAGATTTTTTTTTTTGAAAAATTGAATAAACAAATATTATTAGAATTTTTTTTTATTAAATGTTGGCACACGTGATAATGTTAGCTAGCACATATATAAGCAAAACAATAGGTTTTTCCGGGAAAAGTTAAAGTATCGTACCATTGGCCGCCAAATACTCTACGGTCCGGGTTTCTTTCTCCCAAGTTTTCCACCGCCTCATCTACAAATTAATATAAAAAAGAAGCAAGAACCAACATTAAATTTATGTATGTACATTGAGTAAGAAACACAACCGACTTAGTCTCATCATTTTTGGATATCAAATGATGTGATACATTGACAATGATTAGATGATTAGTAAAAGTTAGTGAGGCTCTTTAATCTAAATTTTGATAAGCGTAACATTAATTTTAGAAAATTAGAGGCAAAAGCCAACCGTATTGCTGACAAAATTAAAGTCAAAATATCCAAACAAAAGTAAAAATTAGGGTTTTGAAACTAATGTTTGAAATTAGGATAAAATACAGTTTTGGTCCTAAAAATATGTATTTAGTGTTTATTTTGATTCCTAATTTTTTAATTGTGTCTATTTAATCTCTAAAATTTCTAATTTGTATCTACACAGTATAATTCCAAATGTCTGTAAAAAAATCTTAAAGGTTTTGGTTACGCGTCAATCAATGGTTCTTTAATTTTGTGTATATTTCGTCCTTAAAATTTATAATTTGTGTTTATTTGGTCCCATATGATTGACGCTTGACCAAAGTTGTCAACGATTTTCTGATAAACGTTTGAAATTGAATCACGTAAATACAAATTAAGAACCTCAGAAGTCAAATAAATATAATAAAAAAATTAGAGACTAAATAGATATTAAATATATACTTTAGATACCAAAAGTGTATTTTACCCTTGAAATTAAAAGGGGTTCTTGTATGCGTCGAAATATCAAAGTATACAGTCACATTGCGTTGACATTCAAATTACTCAATGGGAAGTAAGCAAAACAGTAGTCTTTGTACCTTAGCCCTTCCTAAACCCATTGTGAGAACACTGTACACTATCTGCATTATTGCTAACACAAAGATGAAGATATTCAGCTCATTGATCCCCACTGTTGATATCAGAGGAGTCATCCCCTGTCATTACAACACAAACTTATATCAATTGGAGGCAGTCACCATGTTAGCTTCTCTCTCTCTCTCTCTCTCTCTCTCACACACACACACACACACACTCTGACATACCTTAGATCCACATTGATCAGCAGAGTTGCCACCGGAGACGGTGGCTGCCAAACCCCTCTCTCTCCATACTGTCATATTATCTTCAAATGTATTGGTCCATGCAAAGTTCTCATATGCTTTGGTAGTTTTGGTTGGCCAGCCCTTGCGGCATGGAAGCATGGAATCTGCAACTCTATTGGGTATGCAGATTTTCGAAATAAACCTTTGAGTTACTGCTAGTATTAGAGACATGAATCCCAGCAGCATCAAAACTGTATAAACCCCAAACAAATCAGCACATAATATAAATCAAATCTATGAAAAATAGCGTTCTTGAAGAAAAAAATGGGTGGAGCAGGGAAAGAAAAAATAGAGAGTAGCCTAGACTCTACTCCACGCTTCAAAGCAAGTTTTGCAAAGTTCTGATGGGACATGCTTCAAATCAGCCCCGAAAGAATGAATTTCAATCACAATTCGATTCGCAAAAATAACAGCTTTACATATGGAACAAGATTGCGTACAACTGACCCATACTAAACCCCCTTTTTTATTCTAATAACTATTTGGAGTAAGCTGTTGCTGAATTCACCAATTTGTTTGGCTGAAGGTGTTAAGCTATTCTAATGAAGGTGTTGTATTGTACTTCTTTGAAACCCACCTGATTTGAGCCTCTCCATTGCATCAAACAAGGCAATTTTCCGATGTTTCTTAAGCCACTGCACCAATAAAAAAATTCCAAAAAGCAATGTAAAAACTCGATGGGAGTACCCCTAATGCCAAAAGTAAACCATAGCTAATTAAGGTAGTTTCATACTAGGTGGATGTCTATAGTGATTGAAGATTACTTACATGGCCTAAGAGATGGATCAAGTGTTCAATGAGAATGCCTAAGAAAATGAATACGAAGCAAACAACTGCCAAAGCCCATGTTGGGGTGTATTGCAGAGAAGTAGTAGTAGTACTGGTGGTTGCTCCTCCTCCTCCTCCAGCCGCCATGATTTACGAGCTCTTCCTCCGTGAGATCTCGATTGTTGCCGCCGGATAAGAAATGAGAATTGAGAAGAGCTTTAAGGGGTCTGTAGAGTAAGAGAAGACGAAGGTAAGAGGAGGAGAGCGAAGACAACTTCAACAAACCTGGTTGGCTTGCTAGTCGTTGTTGTTGGAAGTCTTTGCAAATTGTCCCGGTGGAGGTTCAATCTACCTATAGTTTTGACTTGGTTATTCTTAGCAGAGGGACTTTATAGTGGCATGACATAATATCACATTCCAGATACCTAACTAGATGGGCCCCTCAGTTTCTCCATATCGGAGGGTCACCTTTCTCCAAGTTGAGAGACCATTGATTATACTTTTTTGACCCGTTTTCCTAATAAAAATGAATTGATTGAATAAAATAATACAATTTAATACAGTGCAGATACATAAAATATAAGATTAAATATAGTATTAGAATAATAAATAATTTTATCTATTATTTGACAAAACACAATATAAACGTTAGATAATAGTTATTTAATACAATCAGTTGTTTGGTTAAAAAATATTTTCTGGTATTAATTTTGAATTAACAAAAATACCATCAATCAGTATTTGTTTCATTGATTACAACTTCATTTTATCAGTTGAGGGGTTATAATAATAAATATGTAGAATAATACGTTTGAGTTGAATTATAATACCACATCTCTTGGTGATATTAAAATATATTTATAATACATGTCTATCGTATTATACGATAAATATATGATTAATATAAATTTTTGAAATTAGTATAGTATTAAATTTACTTATCAAACAAAATATTAGACCCGATAAAATAAAATAAAATACAGTCTAATATTTAGTCCTCTCATAATACGTCTACCAAATAGATGTTTCTAAGGTGGTTTTTGTTTTTTTTTTTTTTGCAAAAAAAAAGGAAGTAATTTGGTATATATATATATATATATATATATATATATATATATATATATATATATATATTTGGTACGTCGGAAGTTAAAATAAACAACTAAATAGACTTTAGAAAAGAAAGAAAGACTGGCTAGATCAGCCAATATAAAATTCGTCAATTGGGGAGGGGGCATCCAACTCTACAAGAGGTCCCAGCTGATGGACTCCACAGTTTATTTGCACACTGATTACCTTCTTTGAGAGTATGAATAATGAGGATGCGGTTCAGCTCCATTAATCTTCTGTGGTTTGTAATGGTGGCTCAATTCCGGTGAGTAGCCTCCGGATCCATGATAGCAATTTGGCTGCTTCAACCAAATAAGTTTTTCTTATGAAATTAGTGACGTTTCTCTTCTATATATGCTCATAGAGAATGATAGATTAGACAAGAGAATTAAAAACGCAACACAAGTGAAATTTTACATCAGACGACAAAATATGTAAAATAATCTCAATCGACTGTGAGTGATTTCAATAGTATATATATCTATAAATTTGAACTCTTAAATGTTTTCATTTTGAACATCCATAACTTCTTATTATCCCTAACATATGCGACTTTGAAAGAGAGCAGTGGACGAACAAGAGTTTTTTATGGGAGACGAGCATCACAAAGAAGACATTGATGATGTTTGGGAACGCCTTTGTGGATCAAGAGTCAATTGACATTGGGAGAACCATTCCCGAAGATTTATGCTTCATTTGGTACGATAGAAAAATGAGAGGATAAAAAGTTGGAAGGATGAAAAGTTGGAGGGATAAATAAAACATCATGTTTGGTAATGAAAAAAAGTAGGAAAGATGAAAAAGTGGATGAATTAACTTTCTTTTCAACTCACCAAAATCGGAAGGAAAGTGGATGAAATGTTAATTACTTGTGTTGAGATGTATCTTATGTATACATTAATTTTATATAAAAATACAATGATAAAATATGTATATATATTTTAAAAAATTTTAAAAATAAAAAAAAATATTTTTTCCCTCTTAACTAAGAATGAAAATTTTTGACTCAACACGATGACACGACTCGAACTCGATACGAAAATAAACTGATCAACTCGCAACTCGACACAATACAATTAGTTAAATGAGTTAAGTTATGTTTGACTAATATTCGACACAAATACGTAATGACTCGACACAAATTTGACATGACATAACTCGACTCGATTGTCACCCCTAATCGTAGCCAATACAAAAAAAAAATAATTATTTTTATTTTTTATTTATTTAACCAAACACAGAGAAAAAAAAATGCATTCTTCCTATTTTCTATCATCTTTACTTAACGGAATGTTAGATAATTTTTTCCTTCACACTTTATCGTCCATTTATTATCTGACATAACGGTGTGACCACCCACTTTATGGGTGAGCTAGAGGGGTTTATTAAGTTAACCGACCATTGAACTTGTCAAAGAAACCTAGGTATCGACTTGAAGCTGGCACGAAGACTTTGCCTTGTTGTTCACCACCCACCATGTGACACATGGGGACTGAACCATTCATTTTAGCACTGATATCCAATCTTGTCGGTCATATGTGGGTTAAAATTTGCATAATAAATCATAAAATAAAATTTCCATATTTAAATATACGATCCATTTATGATCTGATTCACATCATTCATTACTTATAAATATAATATGAAAATAAAGAAATTGAGGTCTAATTTGCCAAAAATCAATCATAATTGTGTTATTTAGAGTAAATCTTTAATTTTTAATTGATTAGGATATGAATTAAATCAAATTATAATTTTTAAATAGGCAATTTCGTATATGTCAAAACTCAATCCATTGGACGAATTTTCTACCCTGACCTCACCAACAGCCCCCACAAATTTTATGAGAAAGCTACGGTACAGCCAAGGAAAAGTTTGGTACCATACCGAAAATTTTAAATTTTAAATTTTAACATTAATGGTATATTTATTAAATTTATAATATATTTATACGGATTGGTAGACAAGACAAGACAAGACAAGACATTTAAATGACAAGATAAGACATACCGTCTAACAACCATTAAGTCAATTGAAGGCAAAATTATAACATTAGTGGAAAGTTTACGACTATAGTGGACAAAATTACAACATTAGTGAAAATTTTATAATATTTGTGGAAATATTTACTAAATTTGTGGGAATATTTACAACTTCAATAGTATATTTATTAAACTTGTGAGAATATTTATAATTTCAGTAGTATGTTTACCAAATTTGTGAAAATCTTTATAATTTCAATGGATTCATTACTAGTCCATGATCGATCAAATATGATTATGATCGATCAAATCTCTCTAACACATATCATTGAAGTTGTAAATATTCTTATAAAAGTGGTAAATGATCCATTGAAGTTGTATATCTTGGGTTAGTTGTAAATTTTCATTCATTAAGCACACATGTGTATTCTGATCGATCGATCATATATACTGATCGATCATGGACTAGTAATTCACTTTAATTATCAAATTTGTGGGAATATTTACCAAATTTGTGAAAATATTTACAAATTCAGTGGTATGTTTATCAAAATTGTGAAAATTTTTACAATTTCAATGGATTCATTACTAGTCTATGATCGATCAAATCTCCCCAGTACTTTTACCTCTAATTCACAATACAAATCAACAATAACATGATCGATCAAATATATGTTTGATCAATTGAATTTACTTACCAACGATTTGATCGATCAATATATTTTTCTGAGTAATCAAATTCAATTACAATTTATTGATTTATCTAAATTTTTAAAAAAATTGGAGAAATTTTAAATCCAATTTGAAAAAAAAATTCAAATTTTAAATCTAATTTTAAATCTATTTTTTTTATAAAAAAAATTTATAAAATATAATTTATCCAATTTTTTTTTAAATTAATTCCAATTTTTTTCATTTTTTTTAAAAATTAGATAAATTAGTCAGTTATAATTGAATTTGATCGATCAAAAAATATATTGATCGATTAAATCGTTGGTAAGTAAATTCGATCGATCAAACATATATTTGATCGATCATGTTATTGCTGATTTGTATTGTGAATCAGAAGTAAAGTACTTGGGAGATTTGATCAATCAAAATCATATTTAATCAATCATGGACTAGTAATGAATTCATTGAAGTTGTAAAGATTTTCACAAATTTGGTAAATATACCATTGAAGTTGTAAATATTTTCACAAATTTGGTAAATATACCACTGAAGTTGTAAATATTTCCACAAATTTGATAAATATGCCACTGAAATTATAAATATTTTCACAAATTTGATAAAAAAACAACCTCAGTGGTATGTGTTTGGAGAGATTTGATCGATCAAAATCATATTTGATCGATCATGGACTAGTAATAAATCCATTGAAGTTGTAAAGATTTTTACTAATTTGGTAAACATACCACTGAAGGTGTACATATTCTCACAAATTTGGTAAATATACCACTGAAGTTGTAAATATTTTCACAAATTTGGTAAATATACCACTGAAGTTATAAATATTTCCATAAATTTGGTAAATAACAATTTCGGTGGTATGTGTTGAGGAGATTTGATTGATCAAAATCATATTTGATCGATCATAGACTAATAATGAACCCATTGAAGTTGTAAATATTTTCACAAATTTGGTAAACATACTACTGAAGTTGTGAATATTTTTACAAATTTAGTAAATATACCACTAAAATTGTAAATATTTTCACAAATTTGATAAATATTCTCACAAATGTTGTAAAATTTTCACTAATGTTGTAATTTTGTTCACTATAGTCGTAAACTTCCCACTAATGTTGTAATTTTGCCCTCAATTGACTTAATGACTATTAGACGATATGTTTTGTCTTGTCATTTCAATATCTTGTCTTGTCTACTAATCGTGTAAATATATCATAAATTTAATAAACATATCACTAATATTATAATTTAAAATTTTCCGTATTGGAACGAACTTTCTCTTGACTGTACCGTAGCCTTCTTCCAAATTTTAAAAAAGAACAATCTTATCTTCAAATTCTAGCCATTATGATTGAAGTTCAATCATTCCCCTATGATTGGGGAATTATTTATTCCATTAAGAATGACTTTTTCTTGAAATATTTGACTTATCTTGCTAAAGAAAATTATTAACTTACATAAACAATTCTTCTAATTGCGATGGTTTGTTTGTTTTTTTTGTTATTTAAATTTCAAAAAGTCAAATCGTTGGAAAGTTGAAAACATCATGGAATAT